CAACCAGCCATTCCTGGACAGTTCAGTTACCTGAACTATTCTGTTTCCTCAGTCATCCTCCCCTTTAAATCTGCTAACAACTCAAAACCTGAGCAGTCCTCAATGTTCTCTTTCTTGGCACATCCTGTTCCTGAGCAGTAGTGCCAGATAGGTAAAATGTCAAACACAGCGGAAATGTGTAAAAGAAATTATACTGCTGTGAAGCATCAGGGTTGCTAGGCTCCTCTGTATTCCCATTTGTCCATCAAATAACCTCTGAGAGGAAGGTATGGGAAGCACCAAACATAACCTGTCCCAAATGTCTGACTGGCTCAGCACAGCCTCTCCCTACTCATAGTATCACAGGGGTACGCAGCTAATTGAAATGAGGAGGGCAGGGAGCCATGGTGGTTCTTCCAAACAAAATTAGTCATTAAAGAGTCTCTGGGATCCTAAGAAGGGTTTGGGGAACAGATGGGGTTCTTGAGCTGTTCTCTCTTTGTTCCACCAAATTGGGGACGTTCTGGTTAGGAGGGCAAAGGAAAATAAGTGTTACAATCCTGCATTTCCAAGTTGTAAGTCAGCACTAGGTAGTGGTTTAGTGGGAAATTCCACTGGGTGTTTCTTCCTCTCAGGAGGGTGACAGTGAATAATTATCAATACCCATCCCCCTGTTTWCCCTACAGAGGATGCTACAGACTCTGACAGGGCCCTGGCTCCTCTTCAAGGTGAATTCTGAAAGCTTCCTCCACACCTGGCACAAGGGTAAAAGACGTCTTKCCATGGGCTTGAATTTAATGCTGATGTCAGTTTGTTCACTTATTAAATAGTGACACTTTAGACCGGCTAAGAGAGGGTCATCAGTTGCCAGGTTTCTAAATATACTAAACATGCTGCTGTGTGAGTAGGTTAATGTTACCTCCTCTTCCTCCTGGCTGATTTATTGTGTCATTAACTCAGACTTCTGTTCTGCCGAACCTGTGTGTGTGTGTTACCACACACCAGCCAGGCAGGCTCCCAGCTGCACCTGCAAAACMGCTCAGGGAGTGCTTTGTCCTTCCCTGTGTCCTGCAGGACCTACCACCAGTGGCACCAGCCCTGGGGACAGCCCTGCAGACAGCTTTTCTGAGGAACATGAGATGCTCTGATGCACCCGTGGCAGCATGAGGCCACTTCCCACCCAGCCACGCTGGCCAGTGTGTGGCTCCTGCTCCCTGCAATGCCCTGCTGCATCCCTTGGCTTTGCCATCAGTGGTTCAGCTCCATCATTCTCATTCTCTCTCCTTTCCAAAGAAAATCTTGAACAGCATTCCAWGCAGCAGGGCTACTTGCTCAGCAATGTGTGGGAAGTCTGCAGCAAAATACATCTGTTTAAACCCTCTTCTCCCTCACTGGAAAAGATTGTGCATCCAAACTGCCCCCTCCCTCAGAGGAAACTGTCAGAGTGAATTAAAAGCTGTAAAAGGCCAGGGCTATAACTCAGTGCCTTTAAGTGCCAAGATTTTGTGGGGGTCAGAGGGAGGGAAGTAGCCACTAATGTAATTTCCAACAGGAGTACACTCCTCTAATATAATTTGGCCTGGCTACCCTTTCAAATGCAGCCTTCCCTGGCTGAGCTGGTTCAGGGCCATCCTCCTAAATGCCCAGAAATTACGGCTGCAGTGAAATCATGTGCCCAGGCTTTGCTCTGGACTTTTAAGCCCTGGAGTGACACCAGCTTTCTGCATAGAGCACATTGCTGGGCATGGAACTGGACACATTAATATTGTGGAGGTTTTTCACTTACTATGTTCATTAAAGACACAAATGCCTTATTTGCTTAGGCTTTGTTCTTTTTTTCTCTTTGGTTAAGGGCTGGCAGTGCTCTAATGGTCTGCAAGTTGTATGGTCTCTTACCAGATTAATGAATATCAGTTACTCTGATCCAAATTCCTGAKCTAAATTTTACATTCACCAGCTGTCTGTCTCTTTGCCAGTACCTTATACTGCCTGTAACACAGTTCAATAACACAGTTCTTTCTCTCTTGCTTTCCTTGCAAGGGAATGGTTTCCAGGGAAGGGACCCTTGCTTTGCCATATCCATCTCCTTAGGCAAAACCTCTCAGAGAAAGAGCTTGAAAGTCTTTTGGGAAGTGCTCTCTTTGCCTTGCTTTTTGTGAATTAAAACATGATTTTCCCAACAGSTCTTTAAAGGTCTCCTTGCAGCATTGTGCATGATAGACTCAAATACCATCAAAGAGCCACAGCACTGCACTGATTTCCTTCTCTCGGGTTTATTTTGGTCATCTTTTCAAAATACATCTCCTGATTGGCAGCCAAGAGTATTGAATTGTCCTCCAAAGCAGCTAATTGGGACCTTATTACTGTTATTTCTCATAAACAKCTGGTGCTCAAGGACAGTGACAGTGATAGTGACAGATAACCACCAATCCCCTCTCTCCATGTACAAATGAGTGGGACTGAAGTGGGAAATGCACTCTACAATTTTTAGAAGGTAAGAACAATGACCAAGGGGCTTTGCTGTGACATGCAGGGCTGTCACAAGCAGATGTTAGAAAAGGGATGGTGTGAGAGAGTAAAAGAGAGTCTGACAAAACCCAGCAGAGCAGCAAGGGCATTGCAGAGTCTTTGGTGGGCTACAAAGGATATGATCTTTGGTGCCTTTAGAGGAAATAATTAGAAGAAAGAAAGGAGATGAGGTGCATGGCCAGATTTTATGGGCAATGACAGCCACAATTTTGAATGATTTGAAGGGAAGGGAGAAATGACATAGGCATTTGGGTGCCAGAGAGGTGAGTGTCRCAGAAACTGAGTTTTTAGAAAGGACAGGCAGAAAATATAGCAGCCCCAAGACTCACTCATTCTCTGTCTATCAATACACTTCMTTTTCCCCGGGGACAGGCAGCACTGCCCTTCTCTGAACACACGAGTTACACACGAGGCTGTCGCTTTCTGGTTCGCAGCCAACAGCTCAACCTCTGATACAAAGTCACAAAGCAGGCAGTAAGTACATTATCGGGTAGCAGGAAGAGATAATYCCCCAAACCACAGCGCAAAGCCTTTTAAAAACAAGAAGATCACAGATTCCAGTCAGAAATCAATGGAAATGGAGCTGTTCTGCCCATGGTGCATTGCAGGGGTCAGTGTGGGGATGAGGAGCAGGAATGCAGAGTCACACTCCAGGCTGTGTGCACATCACTGTGCCCACACAGAAGTGGATCCAATGGCAGGCAAGAAGAGGCAGCAGGCATGGGGAAAAGAGGTGTTTTTACCCTCCCCAGCATCTTAAACTAGGTAATTATATTTTAAAACCATGTTGTTAAACCCAAAATTAAATAAGTGAAAGTAAGGACGTAGGAAACCTAAGGTAGCATGATTTATTGACATGAGCTGCTAATATACGCAGTAGGTAATTACATAKATTTAATCATATATTAAGTGCAGGCTGGATTTTTAGTATACATTAATACAGTGCATGGCATAAGACCATAATGCTTTATACTTGACTAGATTTGCATACTAATCATTAGAAAACTCTCCCAGAAGCATTTGCTGCTACAAAAGTCCAATGAACTGAAATGTCCCAATTAATTTTGGGACCAGTCTTGGCACAATGCGATGAGAAACTCAGAGAAGGAAGGAAGACGATTTGCAGCAGACCAGGCACCCCCCAGGCTGAAGAATACCCAAATAATGATAAATCAAGTGTGTCAGAAATGAGCACAAAGGATTTATTTTGCAGCCTTTTAAATCAGATATCCTCAACACCTTCCCTGAGGTGTCTTTCTCATGATTTACTGTCTGAGGGGAACAAGACAGTAACAGTAGTGTGAAACTTTTTTTTGGTTTCCTTATGTTTTGCATTGCTTTGTCCATTTAAAATCCACGCTTTGCAAGTGTTCTCAGACTGACCAGATTGATAGATGTGCAGCAGAGTTTTATGGGGGTGATCACATCTGTTTACATATTCTATGATCCATGCACATAGCTTTGTTATTTCAATGTCCTTTGGAGGTAGGAGCTTTTAAATTAAAAATTATCCAGCTGAAAACTGAAGGTAAATACCAGTGGAATTACCAAATTTCTCAGAGATTCCAGCCTTTTGGGGGGGTAGAGATGAACTCCTTGGAGAAGGGGAGTAGTTCAGATGAAGCGTCTCCAAGCCCAGGATGGTAACACCAGCAGATGCTGGCAGGATGTGCTGCTGGGAGTGTGTCTGTCCTCGAGAGCCTCTCAGCATCCCAATACCTGCTCCTCGTGGTCTGGGGCTGGAACCTGCTGCTTGCACAAGCACAGCAAATTAAAAGGCAGCTGTGCCAGTGCCCAGATTTCCAGAGTTCGTGGCAATTTTCTTGTCCCACTGGTTCCTTGACCTTTTATTAAGACCTCAGTTAAAAAAAAAAAAAAAAATTAAACTGTTGAACTGGGCTACAAATGCTGGTGGCTTGGCTTCATAGAAACATAAATAGCTCAGGTAAGAGATAGTCATGAAGAGTACACTAATTTTCATTCTTTTTTTGTTATTAATTGGTGATTTCTAGTATCACTTTGTACATACATAGTTAAGGTCTTCTAGACAGGTGGTAAAAGTTGCATGTATTCCTTATTTGCCTTAATGCATTATCATTATAACACATCATCCACCTTTATGTAACCTCTACCCAAGTGCCATTGTCAGTGCAGCCGCTGACACAGGTAATAATACACATTTCACACAGTCCTGTACAATATTTACCACAAAGCAGAAAAAAAAGTGATTTGTATGAAAATAATGCCTAGTTTTAAGGCTTTTAGTCCTGAATTCCCCACATTCTTTGCTTCATTATCTGTTACAGACTCTTTGTCACATAACATTTAATATGATTTCCACATGAAATTTGCTCTTTGCTGCTTKCTAATAAATAATCATACAACTACCCTGACTCCAATCAGAGCTGATATAGCCAAGTGAACTTTCCAAAAAACAAAAGCACATGTACATTGCACAGCRTGATGGAGCATCCATAAACACGCTRCTCCAAGGTCTGATTTATGGTAATGCAAAAGTGGGCACATTCACTGGGGTACACAGTGGTGGAAATAAGTGGGAGAGGGGGATGGAGGACAGGGTATAACTGGTAATTGACTGGTGATGGTCGGGTGGACAAAGGGTTGCCAATGTAAAGACCTTCCARTGTGGACACCAGAGTGAAGATACCGTGTGCATGGCCATGGTTTCCAGCAGGGAACCGATGCTGTCCCAACTCCTTGGAGTCACTCAGAGCCCAGCCAGCTCAGCACAGAGGAGAAAAATACAGAAATATGTTCCTTCTTTATCTTCCCTCCTTGTTTGATTTTCTCCTGGGAGAGAACTTCTTGGCTATTTCACAGTTTATTTGTCCAGTTTGTCCTTTGTGGTGTTTTTTTGCAGGCCTCCTGTAACTGCTTGTAGTGCACAGACACACACAGACAACACCTTCACCTGAGGGTGAAGTTAACCAGCTTATTTGGCTGATTTGCTGATTCTGAAAGAACTTTTACTCCTTTGACTGATGAAGGAGCATCGGTAACCTTACTGTTGCTGAAGTAATTTCTTGTGGATACAACACTTGCTAAATTCACATTGTAATAAAAGAGAAAATCCCTCTAAACACCGCATCCAAGATCCTCCTTGTGTTTATGCTGAGAAAGGTTAAAGACAAAACCCCTGAAGAGATTACATTGGGGTTTAACAGTGCTAAGTCGAGGTAATTGTTACACGGTATTCCTGGTTAATGAAATTCGGCATTCCTGGTTAATGAAACTCGGCTTCCAGTAGTTTGATGTTGCTTTTGTGATGGAGAGCAAGTTGCCATCTGCAGCCACCTGAAAGTGTCACTGGCACACACTAACATTTATTTCTCTATTAAGACAGGRTGCAATGGTCCTATTTTTCCCTATCTGACGAACTTATAAAAAAAAAAAAAAATCTCTCAAAATGGCCATCAGCAGCATGACGTGTCTTTGTTTTCACAGAGCTGGGTGGGTGTTTTTTTTGTCCCAGTCCTTCCTGGATAGGTGACAGTGTAGCACCTAGCACCCGCTACACCTCCGCTCGCTCATGTGAAGTATCGACATTGTGTGGAGTCAATGTAGCAGTAAGAAGTGCATCGCAATTTTCCATAAGACCTAAAATAAAAAAGAGAATATCTCAGTTTCAAAGCAGGGTATAGTTCACAATATATGGTTTCTGGATCTAACTCTCCGTAGGAGTGAACAACATCAGAATATGCAGATACTGCAGCAACATATGGGAAATAAAACAGGAGGGCAATTTTCATCAGTGCTTCACTGTGTTCTGCTCTGTCAGCAAAACAGGAGTCAAGGAGAATCTATGAGTGAAGACTTAACTCCCAGTAATGTCAATTTAAAAAAAATAAAATCCCTATTGGCATCAGGACATGATGAATACTTCATGGGGGTGGGTGCAAAAGGCCCTGGCGCCCACCCACGRGAGCTGTGGAACGAAATATCTGAGGCTCTGAGTTAAGTGTTCTGCCAGTTACTCCCAATAGCTTCAGCAGGCACGACTGTGCCTGTCCTTTAACTTATTTTTCATGTACTTGAAATAATGAAAGGGACACATCTGAACCTTTAAAATTAAAAGAAAAAAAAAGAAGTAAATTGAAGGCTCCTTGCAAAATAAGGAAAAACAGAAATTTTGTCTTTCTACTGACTTAAATTGAGCTGCAGTGACTGTGTACTGAAGACCTGACCAGAGATGTTAATAAGAATTTAAATGAGTTTTTTATTGCTGGCATATGTCTAAGTGAATAACCCATGTACAGCATCAAGCTTACGCAGCTTTAAAACTGTCCTTGGGTAACCCACATTCTCAGACCAACATAAAATCTGAAGAGAAGGTGTGTGAAATAGGAGGAGGGATCTGTGGGCTGGAAAGAGTAAAAAATGGGAAAATCTACTGCAGCAGAGCTCTCTGAGGAAAGGTTACTTTGGGGTAAGACTGCCATGCTTACATACTCAGCCCACTTAACTCATGATTCACAGCTTTTTCTTTAGTTTGGCAGATAATTTGCAGACTACACACAAAATAAAAGATCTCAGTTGCTATTCACAACTTGAATATACATGCAAAGTGAARTGTATAAAATTTTCCTCAAGCTTTTGTGGCACTATCTTTGGCACCAAACTTCAGACTTTTAGAAGGGAATAGTTTTCACAGAAGWAAAGAATATGAAGATGAATTCTCTGCAAAATGTTTCAGATTTGTCAGGTTTACTGGTCTGGATTTTAGTAATCTCTTACACCAGAAGTGCTCCAACAATTACAGCTGAGGGATTAGCRCAGCACTATTTACAAAGACATCCTGTGGTTTCTTATTCCTGTCAATTAGCACATTATTGTTCCCTGAATGATGAGGGCTCTGCACGTAATTTAATTTGCAAATTAAACGTTTCCTGTTAGCCAGTAACAATACCTGACAGCTAAATAGAGGTGCTGCTGTTGGAGGCGAAACGCYGAGCAGGGGAAGCTTCCTGAACAAAGGCAAGGAAGACAATTCAACAATAAGCAGATGTTTCAAATGAAGGACATTACCAAGCAGATGCATGGCTCTGCATCTGCTGTGAATGAATTTCCTGAGCTTTGGAAAAGCTGACAGATGACTGCTTGATTAAGAAGCACATACATCCCTGGAGTACCCCTTAACGGGAAGGGCAGCAGGGTACAAACTCTGATTTGTGCGTTGTGGCTTTTTTCCTTCAGTGTGATCATCTTCTCACGGTCTTTCCCTCCCTTCTTATGTTATGGGTGGACATTGATGAAACCAAATGAGGAAATCTCGGCAAGAAATGGGCAAACACGGGTCTGCGTGGCCTTCATTAATTTTGTGCAGTATGGAGCATGTACTTCTCACTGAGAAATGAGATTTAGCCCTTAAAGTCAATGATATGCAGAAATAATTTGATAGACACTTTCTTCCCCGATACTTGCAGGGGTCCCAGTGGAACAATGTTTAAGTGGGTGAGGTTACTCTGTTTTAAAGCAGGCGAGGAGAAAAAAGAAAGGAAAAACACACAAAAAGCCCACATAAACAAACAAACCGACCCAAACCCCACCAAACCGAAGTGAAGAGCCCCTCTTACACACCCGGGAAGGTATGTTCTACATGTCAAATATCCAAAATCCATCCCATCGCAGTCTTCAACACCCTCGTGCTTGTAGCCATCTCCGCAGTAAGCWCGGCGGCACCCTAGAGAAAAGGAGAGGAAGGAATACTTTCAAGGCACTTCATATGTAAAAGAAAAATTAAAAGTAAGTGGAACTAGATTTTTAAGGGTTAAGCATAAAACAAGATATTTTGGGGAGGGCACTCTGTAAGAACTGTCTAAAAAGGAGCAGTATTCTTCACTAAAAAGGATGTGGTTTTTTAGCCTAATTTCAATGACCGAGGGAAAGAATGGATAAATACTAAAAATGATTACTACAGAATCACTAATTACAACAGCATTTATTCTAAAAATTATTATTACCATGGATAATTACTGTCAAAATGAGATAAAGGAAACACCAAATACAGTTAACATAAATGATTCAGGTAGGTCTCAATCTCAAAAAATGTACTCTTAGGTCATTAAGTGGTTTGAATTTCCAACCTAGACCTTTACCCAATTCTTCACAATATCTATGTTAGTCTGCTGTGAGTTTCTACACATGAAGGGAATTATGCAGCCTGACTATAAAAAAGAAATTAAAAGTATGTAATGGCTGCCAAAAACATGTTTTTCCCACTGCTGACTCCTAGTGACTTGAGCATGAGTGGGACTTGTGACATTTTTTCATGGTGACTGGCACATAGGCTGCAGTAGTTTGTGGGTTTGTTTGCTATTTTAGCAGCTGGACTTTGATTTTGATGTCTTCAGCATATGGAAAATGACTTTATAACATGAACAAACTCATTTAGTTAAAATCCCTCTATCATCTTCTGAGAGAATACATTGGTGTTAAGCAAAGGATTAGACATCCAGGAACAGGGAGTTTAAAAGAGGCTAAAATGTTTTATTTACAAATAGGAAACAATTAATTAATTGCACCAAGGATGAATTTGTCAAAAACTGATGCTTCTAAGACCAACAAGCCTATTTTACAATTAAATCAATTCARTGTTTGGTTAACCTTTTTTTTTTGGTTCAATCACAGGAGAAGAATGATGCCAATGTTCTCATTTCCAAGTAACTCAATGATCACCCCTTGGGTCACATCAGWGTCAGAAATCAATATATGKCAAGGCCTCCRTTKACCTGAAGCTTTGCCCAGATCATARCACRGAGAACAYGATGTGCCCTCAGACACACAGTGTGCRATTTTGCAGGCATTAGAACTAATGAACATTATTTTCCTGCATAGTTGTTCCCCGTGGATGATAACAAATTCTAATTGAATCATTTTCTCATGTCTGGAGACAGGAGAGATCCTGCTGTCTCTCTGGAGTACGCTGCAGTCAGGCRAACTTAGACAGGCTTTAATGTGTTTGTGTCCCTACACCTGTGGAGACTGAATTGCCTTTGAAATCTCTTTCCTGTTGTCATKGAGAAGTTGGCTGGGATTGGTAAATTGTAAGGGGAAGGATGGTGATGGACAGGTGGATGGAGAAACTCATGTAGGGAATAGCTGCAGACACCCCATTTTCAGAGGTAGGCTGAAAAATGGAGGGATATATAAAGGAAAAATTGCATTTTCAGTGTTGGCTGATACTATTCTGAAATGTGAARAAGCATCCCTTTGCTAGGAACAGCAGAGCACCAAACCCACTGTGTGGAGATGGTGTGGTGCTGTGCTCTGGGGAAGGATTCAAGCTGTAAAAATAACTGAGAGGGAGAAGTGAAGGTTGTCGCAGCTGCTCGAATGCTTATATGCTCTTTGCTATCCACAACCAGCAAAATGGGAGGAAAAGTTTGTAGACATGAATCAAAAGTTGTATAAACCTAACAGTGAAGGTAGCAGGTTGACACCTTCCCTATGCAAGTGAATAACAAAACGCCAAGTAGTGTTTCTGGACTCAGGATCTGCTTTACCATAAGAAACAGCTCCAGTGCCTATCCAAGGGCTGTGCTGCATGGCAAAGCTGTGCTACAGCTCTTAGACAGAGAGCTGGCAGCCCTCTGGAAAGGGGTGTGTGTAACCCAGCTGCTGGCTGTGGCCCCCAAAATGCAGTGGTTTGGCTGTGACTCAGAAGGATGCACAGAGGTGCTGTTGTCACCTCTGCCCTGCGCTGTCCTGTCCCGTCCACATGCGAGAATGCCTCAGTGTTCACCCTGCGGCCACTGTGCCTCCCTTTCCCTGTGCCTGACCTGATCCACAAACCACACAAGCTCTCCTTGTGTGATTTAGACAGCAGASTACCTTGTTGGAACAAGGGTTCCAACCTTCCCCAGCAGAAAGAAGCYGCTCCTGCTGCCCCATAACTCACTTATGCAGTCATCGGTCACAACCGCGTTGCCRTCGTCGCACTCCTCCCCATCCTGCACGATCCCGTCTCCACAGGTACCCCCATCCTCGAAGCGGAAATCCACGGGGTAGAAAGGGGTGAGCTGGCCAAGCAAGAACACAGTGGTCACTGAACCAGACCAGGAGCAGCCTGGTGGAGGGCTGTGGGGGGCAGATCCCACAACCGGGTTTTTATGTCCTGTTTTTTTTGTGGGTTTATACACAGAGAGTTCATACAGAGTCTGATCCAAAGTCCGGTAGACACAAGAATGTTCCTACTGCTGATTTCAGCAGGACTCATCTTAGCTCCTTGAAGCAATACATGAGTTTGGTTTGCAGGGTTTTTGTTCTGCAACTTCGTACCCTGGTGAGTTTTGCCTTATTTAGCATGAAATGAAAACTCCCTTTACTGCCATAATTCCCCAAACTCTGATCTAGTTTGTTCAGCAGTGGAACCTGGTTCACAGGAGGTTAGCAAAACCTGCAACGCTTCTGAGATAATGTCTCAGTAATTATAACCCCTGTGAACAAAATTCACAGAATTATGTGAAGTTATGGTAGTGTTAAAAAACGAGCTTTTCCCCCATTTGCTTAATTTATTCTGTATGACACCTGAAGTACAGAAGTATGTTCTGTATTCCAAAATGAAACACACTCACGAGTTTTCTGAGACCACAGTCATATTTTCACCTGGACTGGGAGCCATCCAAAGGTATCCTTGAAATACAAAGACCTCTGATCTCTTCTAAAAGCTAAGGCATTTTCAGTGTTTAACCGGTCCAATTCTTCTTGGTTATTCACCACAAAAATCTGGGGCACAGAGAAAGAGGTGACTGGTAACCTTCTCAAGAAGTTTTTTAGATTGTCACAGAATCTAGTTTTGCCATATGTATCTTCAAATAGGTAAATAATTACACAGAAAAATGGTTTGGTTGTCTTCAGAAATAGATGAGGTGAGAACCTACACCCATGGAAAGAATGGCACTTCCTGAGCACCCAACTATGGCTCCAACTGCCCCCGTTTTGAAATGCACATCCACAGGTAAAAATCATGCAAATACTGGTGCACAGTCACYGCTGAGAACTGTCTGATGTTTAAATGGCTTGATGCTGAAACAATTGCGRAATCTATATAGGCATAAGTGCTTTTTGTGGATTGACTATAACCTTTTGGGCATGTTTGTGGCYACAAAATAAATAATGCATGGCTCAAAACAACCTTCTCCTAATTTTTACCGCTTTGTGCTTTGTTTTGATTTAATTGGCATTAAAATGCATGTTTCTTTATATGCATATATTTTGGTCTAAAGCCAAGGCTTCAATTAAACTGAAAAAAAAAAGAATTAGTTAAAAATGGAAAAATTAAGACAAGCTGCTCTCTTACCCATTTTTTTAATGTCTCGGCCACTGRAATTGGATGTAAGAGGCATTAGGAAATAATCTCTTCCTTCAGCAGCTTAATCAATTTAATTTTTGCAAGATTCAAGCCATTTTTAAATTAAGAAAAAGCAAATGGAGTGCTCCTGAGCAAAATGGATTTAGGGCTGASTCTAATTCTCACCAGCATAAACAGAATTGGCTCTTTTCAAAACAGGTTACCCTGAAGTTTTTACATTGCAGAATATTCCCATGACCCTGGACAAAGGCCAATTTCATTAATGAAGCATTGAATAAAAATGCCTTCAGCTTGAATGAAAGGAAGCAAAGAAATAGGAAGCCAGCACAGACCTGATTCTGTAATTGTGTTCAGGAGCTCATGGCCCAGCCCCAGAACTTCAATTTCCCTTGAAATCAATAGCGAAACAGTGCTGTCTCTAACTGTTACAGATACCAGCCTTTGAAATTGCACAAGGTTTAAAAAAATTGAATGAATCTTAGCCACCAGTGACAGAAAAAAAAGGGAATTGTTTCCCAGCCTGTGGCACGGGAGGAGCTGCTGAGYGCACAGGGGTGGCACTGAGGATGTGTTTCTTTGGCAAACCAGGGGCCAAGGCACAGAGCACCAGCTCTGGATCTTTTCCATGTGCAGCTATAGAAGAGTTTTCAAGTGGTTCAGGACAGGCTTCAAAGCTGCTGCTTGGGGATCTGAACAGGATAAACAATATTTAAGCTCCTGCTGCTCTGGGAGTGCCCCACTTCAGAGCCAAGCCTTGCCTTTTTGCCATCCCACATTCCTGGCAACAAAATAGTGCTTGACCATCGTGAAATGAGGGTTCATAGTGATAGCCAAACATGGTATTTTAGATAATTACACTCTTATTACTATTTTTTAAGATCTCATATGAAACTGTGCCTGCTGGAGAAGGAGGGTAATGAGACCTACGCATGATATTGTGAGCCTTCTGCCTCTTTCTATGAGTCCTCCAGGCTGCAAAATACATGATAGCTTTTTTTTTTTGCACGCAGTGTGATGTGATATCCACCCTTATTTCAGCATGTCCTTGTCTCMCCATTGTGTTTCAAAAACAACAGGAGTTTTTTTTTTCTATCGCAGCACAGCCAGGGATGAGCGAGCAGCTGACCGAGCTGACAAGAATTTCAACACACTCGTGCAAGAGACTGAGCTCAGTGACCCGGTTTAATGGGCGGTGCTGTGAGCGTGTCCCTTTACACCSTAACAGCTTTCTGACAAGGTGACAATGGGGCTTTAACAAAGCTAATTGCTGCTTATTGACATTTAGAGACAACCAGACACCGCCCCGTTTCCTTTTGCAGGAGTGGAGTGGCTGGGCTGTGCTGGCACCCAGCAGCAAAGGAGCATCRTCATTGCTAAGTGCTACAATGCACAGAATAGTAGGGCAGAGCCCAGCAGAAGGAAAAAAAATACATAAAGGGTATTTACAAAGCTCAAAGGAATCAGAGATGAAAAATTGCTCGGCCACTTCTCACCAATGCCTTGTTCTTCAAAGTATTTTGTCCAATTTGCTCCTAAAAATGTTTTCAAGGCTAGAGATGGAAATTAGCAACATAATGTGTATTTCTGTAGACAGGAGCCCAGACAGCTGATTCCCATGGTTTGTGGAAATTCCTGTTTGGTTCAAGGYTGAGGGTCTGTGCTTTGGTAGAAAGTTCTTATTGTATAAGTGAAATGCTTGATCTCAATATTCAATTATGAAATCAGTCTTAARGAAGCCCCAAACAAACAAGAAAGGAATGCTTACTTTACTGGCGAACCTGAAATGTATTTTGATTTAGTGAAATAAAAAGAACAGATTATATATGTGCAGTGGTAGGTGAAAGAGAACATTCTCAGGMTTGAAAAGTGTTTCCAAACACGTTCTACCATACTGATGTTCTGAAACAGCTGCATTTCAGCACATCAATCACACAACAAGCTGTGAGACCAAACTCTTTTGCACCAGCTAGGTCTCAGAGGTTTTGGGTACTAGAAATMACACATTGCCCACATATCTTCCTATTAAATAAAAAATATTAGTGAGTACAACACCTCTTCTAAAAAAGCACTTAAGAGCTGCTCGTATTCCCTCTCAGCAAACCTGCTTACCGCGGGAACTTTTGGGTAGCCGTGTCCAAACACAGAGTCCTCATATGATGGGTTACTCATTTGCTGTGGGGTTCTGCAGAGACATCTCCCTGGAGGCCCTGGAAGTCCTCTTTCTCCCTTTGGTCCTATTGCAAATTGCCCTAGGAAGCAGAGAACCGGGTTGCTTTGTTACGAAGTTACTGCACAAAATACAAACACAGCCTTAGTGGGAAAAGCACGACTCAGGTGGAAATATTGCATTTACCCAAATTTTCAGATTGGCACATCTCCCACCAAATCCACTGGGAACTAAAGGGAGGTATTACCAGAACCACTAATTCCAGTACTTCAGGAGAAAGGTGTAAGTTTGTACCACAGTCATGTAATTTCAGATCGCCTTTTGAATTTTTCTACCAGTTTTACACAGGAAGAGAGAGACCATTTGCTCAGAATTAGTGCCAGCCTGTTTGAGGCTACAGAAATTCGGGGCGGGATGAGCACACAGATCACTCTACAGCCCTTACACAGCAAGTTTTGTAGAGTCARCCTCTCTACACATCCACAGCACATCAAACTTGTGCATTTGTACAACCACTTGAGCAATGCTGTTTCTCAGCTTTCTGTACAGCAAAARTCCAACTAAAAATACAGGAGTTTAAAAATATTTTTTAATTAAACATTGAAAGAAAGTACTGCTTTTTGACTTTCAGACTTTGGCAAGGATGCACTGCTCTGCAGATTTAGACCATGAGCCAATATGCTCTCACTGCAAGCAATGGCGTCAGTACAGAAATGTCCTTTAGGATCAGAATTTATATTCTAGAGGAAAAAGATTAACAACCCTGACACATAAACTTTCTGTGGCTGGAATAAAGCCTTTAAAAAGTAATCTCAAGTTCCTGGCTGCCTTCCCATCAGCATGGTGAAAATTCTGCCTTCTGAAAGCTTCCAGCTAATTTACTCAAGCAGAGATGCTTCTTAATGGGAGACATGAGACACATGAAGAATGAAGCTGTGTCCAGCTTTACAGATGTTCCATTTCCACACCACCACAGGAAGAGACCTCCTGTCCACTAATGCAAGGAAGGGAAGAAAAAGGGAAAGCAAAATGGAAGGGGACATTGAACAAATTGACTGCAGCACAAAGAGCTGTTGTACATTTGAAGCAAGAGTGAGGTTTTGCTTTTCAGATACTTCAGTGCAAATACATCCAGGGTGAGAATCCCCACCTGAGGGTTCACTGCCACTGTGCATTTGGGTCATGCATTGTCCTTCATGTCCATGTTTGGACCCACAAGCTGACCAGGGTTTGTGTGCRTGCTCAGCTCTGAGGCTGTACAATTATTGGTCACTGCAAGGTTTTTCTCGTGATTTCAGCAGCACACACAATTACATTGAGTATGGATCTCAAGCACTTCATTACACAGAGAGTTTTTCTCTGTTGCTCTTTTTTCTCCTCTGAATCCTATTCCTTTCCCTTCTCTTCCTTTCTTTCCTTAATGTCACWGTAACTTGAATCTCACCTGTTTTCCCCTTGCAGAGCTGCACAGAGTGAGCACGTCCTGGCTGATTAGAAATCACAGTTTTTCACTGTAAGCCAGGATATCTGGACCAGCAGATCTTTGATGATGGAGATTACCTAGTCTGTCTGAGGCTGCCAGATGGCTTTTCATTGTCCCCATSTACACAAACCCCTCAGGGACCACTGAGGCTTGATTTGAAACATCAGAAGCCATAAAGCAGCCTTTAATGTAGGGCATGAAGTCCTTATAATGGACAAGGATGAGCTGCCTTCAGGAGAAATCCTCTCCTTGCCATCAGTGGAGAAGCCAACCAAGCCCTGCAGCACTTTCTGCAGAGGAGCCCATGTGTTCCTGATGAGTCAGGAGGGGCTGGGGAGCAGGGACACTCCTTGGGACATCACCTCACCCTCTGCTTACCCAACCCTGAYGGTCCAGGGGGCCCTGGCTGGCCAACAGGACCAGGTCTACCAGGTGGGCCCATGACACCCGC